GTCACTCTTCAAATGAATTGAAGCCGATAATGTTTTGGATGATGAAAATGTTGTCATAACAGATTAGGAAAGCCGCAAAAAAATATTTAAATCTGAGTCAGGTCAGTAAATTTAAGGTTTAGTACCTGGCCAGGAATTTCCGAATTTCTAGTCATTCAGGAAGTTTTTTGCCGGGGTCGCAGAAAGTTGTAGAACTCAGAGTATTTTTGCGAGACAATCTCCCTATGATTTATTATGAATGAAACATTTTTTTCGCTGGAGCTCTGTACAAATCTTCATCAGCTGTCTCTTACGCCACAAGTGTAAGGAAAAAACATTTAGTTGACCAAAATTAAAGCCGTTGAATATTTATTTTCTCTGTCTATGATGCTTTCACAAGGGGAAGCCTAGAGGATGTTTTCACGCGTAAGAAAAGTTTCGCGCCAAATTTCCCGCCTTTTACAGTGAAACCTCGATTTAACCGAAAGTGCCAAGGGACTGGGGAAATTTGTTCGTTAAATCGAGGGTGCGTTGTATCGAAACCCTCCATAACGAATTTTCGGGAAAACTACCAAAATGTTCGTTATGTCAAGGTATAGTTAATAACTATTTTACAACGCCTAGCATTTCTGGAACTGAAAAATTACTGTAATAACATTTCAGTACCGAGCTACACAAATCTTAGCCTGAATTTCATCCGATTACTTCGAGTCGTTATTACTCAAGCAATAGGATGAATTTCAGGCTACTCAAAGCTACGGCAATAGAAACTCAAAAACAAAACCAGTAAAACTACTGCACAAATAAATTTTATCCTTGTTTATAATATGTTTGTCATTCATCTCTTATCACATGCTGTCATTTATTCGTTATCAGCGAGGTAAAATTTTACGTTTGCACTTGTGGATTGTGTTCGTTATAACTTGAATTTCGTTAAATCGATGTTCTGTTCCATTCATTTTACTGTAGTTTTGGCCGGGCTAAAAAAACGTTCGTTATACCGAGGACTTCGTTAAATCGATGTTCCAGTGTATAGGCGCTTGTACCTTGCAGCGCCCTCGCTGCAAACAATCATCAATGAGAAAAGACCATATAGTAGAGATTTTTCTCGTAGAAAAGTGCAAAACATCTCGGAAATTAGACGCAAATGTTTTCTCGGTATAGTGCACCATCGATGAAGAAAATTGAAGAGAGCCGGATGGGGAAAAACGGAACGAACCGCCGTGTACATGTACTATTTATCAGAGCTATTATGCTTATATAAACTTTTATTTAAACCGGTCATTTGTACTAAAAATCTGTATCATTCATTTTTTAATACTTTTACCTTCAGAAAAAAATTTACATTACTTGCAAGTACTGTACTACCTCATATATATTTACCCTCATTATAATATTAGATGCATGTGATATTTCCGTTATCATTTCGCGGTGTGTTAGGGAAAATTTGGGCATTTTAGGAGTTTTGGAAAGATTTAAAGTAAAAGGCTGGGAAAATGATGAATGTCTGTGTATGCATATAATAAACACAATACCACATAAAGAATGCTTTGTCGATTCGCAACGACACTAGCGCAACTGCCACAGGCAGCTGCAATGTTGGATGAACGTTGCAACTATTTGAAACAATGTCGCAACATTGTTGCAACGCTGTATTGCACTACAAATCGTCGTTTCAAATCGTCCCGTGTAACATGACCTTTACTAGTAATAGTTGAGACTACAGCTGCCCCCGCTCTGTATATTGTCTGTCAATAGTATTCTTGGTCGTTGTGTAGCTCTTTGAAGTAATACCGATTGATAATGAAGTTTTTCACACATATTCCATAGAATAGATGAGATAAAAACAGGAGACGCAAGGTTCCATGCAGTTCGAGAATAGTTTATTCTAAACATAAGGAAATATTCAATTAGAAGTTGGAATTTTTCGCTATTTCTCTTTCACTTTTTGCATACAAATCATTTTATTTGCCGGAATGTAAGCCTTAGAGATTCTAAGGTTTGATCTATTCACGTACGCGCATTGCAGTATTTTTTAAAATTTTATCGAAGGACATCTGTGAGAAGAGAATAAGTCAGGACAGAATTTAATTGTCATCGAATTTCTGTAATCTCCCACCGTTCTGCTAGTAATAAGCTAGCAGTTGATTCCCTTTTCTTGTTTGTTTATGGACTGAGTCTTTTTTCCCAAAGAGAGAGAAAGAGTGTCTGGCAAATTTTTTCCAATCAAAGATTTGTGATCTTGTATCTGGAAAACTCTCAAAGTGTTTTTTAGACTTGCCTACAAGTCGAACTCAAATGTTTTCACGAGCACGAAGCGCGAGCGGTAGATTTTTATGTTTTCTGCGGCTAATTTGCAGTCGCCCGTTTTAGTTCGAAAATTTTTTGCCTTTGTGCAGGAACACTAGATTAGGATGCATTCTGACGAACACGATTATACGCGACTTATAACTTCATCTGCACTTATCGAGTGTCTTTTGGTCGATAGCATTCAAAGCAGCTCCTTCACAGAATGTCAATGATGACTCGTAACGTAACTGATTATCGAAGTATGACCTTACAATGAATTCACAAAATCTACCTAAGCACGGTTCCCTCAGGATTTTCTGTTTTACGTCATCTTTACCATCTATTACTTGCGGGCGCGAACAATAGAAAAAGTCATCATTACCTAACGATTCCATGCGGCCCCTGTTCAAGCAAATCGAGATTTTTTCTGACATACTGACTGTATATTTCAACTGTAAGTACTTTCCTTAATATACGCGGTAGTTACTAGGGTGCCTCCTTGGGATTTCGCCTTCTGGGCGAAATCCCTGCAGGGGCAACTAAGGCTGTTCACTATCGACGGAGTTGGACTCAGAGTCGTATTTAGAAGCGTAGGACTTAACAATGTAGTGAAAACAGGGTTCTGATTCCGCTTACGCCCGCCGTAGCTTACGATCAAGTGAAGACTAGGTTGTTGAAGTCGCAAGAAGAAGCGGAAGAAGTAAACCAATCACAAGACGTGGGAATGAGCATTGTGATTGGTTTGTCATTTTGCTTTTGCTTCTGACTCCGACAATCTTGTTTCACAAGTTTGTAAACGACGGACTCCGGTTCCGTCGCGCCAATGATTCTGCTTACGACACCGATTGTTGATTTTCGCAAGGTTATAAACGCTCTCTCCGTTAAACAAATCAACAACAGTTTTCCATGATCTGTACTCTTATCGACCATAGAAATGAAGTCAAAGTATTTCTAAACTCAAGTGGAACAACGAGCCGCAGTTTTGACGTACATTTCCGTTGAAGTTTCAATTTTTTCAATTTTTTTTAAAATGAACACTAATGAGCAGCATAAAGCAACACGAGTATCTTGTTAACTTGATTTATTTCTCCGACCGGTTTCGTCTGATCACAAAGACTTCATCAAGGAGTATAACAAGATAGAGTTAAGGAACTAGCTTTATACCTTGTGATTAAGTTCAATCCGTGAGCCCAAAATTAAACATTGCGAATTTTGTCACGCAGGATATCCTGCACGTATATTTTGTGGGCGTTAATTTTTTGCTCTTCACAACCTTAAAGGAACTTGATTTTGTCTCAATCATTAGGTATACAATTAGTTCCAACTTGTTATTGTCACAGCTGCAATCTGTATATACCACTCAACAGGAACTCGAATGAAAAACGACTTCAGTTTAGTACTTAAGAATCGAGATTTCAACGCATGCGTTATTGTAGTAATTCTGCACTACCCAGCAAAATCTAAGTTCCAAGCACTAGTTTCTAGTGTTCAAAAACTAAAAGAATCTCTCGCAAGAGAAAGAAAATTGCGCCGCCATTACCTCATCGTCTGTACTCTTATTGAACGTAGCTCTTGACCTATCACCGCGCGAAAAATTACTCAGTTATGGTGAAAAAAATATTCTGTATTTACGCACGAGTTTTTGACATCGAGTGCGTACGGTAAATACTGTACAAAACACTTTTCATGTGGTACTGTGTTTATATGCTGAGACATTCTTCCTTGTACCAGTCTTTGTATTTTAAGTCTTGCACTACGTTGTTGCACTACGCAACATAACATCATGAAAGAAAAAGACGTTGCCTTTTGAGAACTGTAAGTACAATTTTAGAGGCTAAGGATACAGAGGTAATACAGCATTATGTACAAGAGTTGGCCATTTGCACGATGACGTCTTCTTACTACTCTGACCAGAATTCATTTCGTTCTTTCTTTCGTATTTAAATGTGTTAATCACAGTGAGGACTGCACAGAAAACCCTGAGAGATTCTGGTCAGGTAATAGTAAAATGACGCCCTCGTGCAAATGACCCTATTACAATTGATTTTAACTTTTTTAATTTACGATTGTGGGCGGAAAATGAAAGGATTTAAGTGAAATGGCTGGTTCATTTGGTAAGCTTTAAACAGGGTACAGCATGGCTTCTATGAAAAGTAAAATTCCGACATGTTTACTTTTTTATTTTTTACCTTTTCTCTGTTGTTTTGCAACGAACCTCAGCAGTTTTCTTTAGTGACAATGACAATGAAATGTACGAAACTATTCTATTCCAATTTCCAAATCTTTGCTTGCGTTTCTACGAAAAAACTCTCCTTTTTTAGACAGAAAATGCTAGATTTCATAGCTCAAAGAAGAGTTTTCTGACCCCGCGAGAATGTATACCTCGCATAAACCTTGCTTTTAATAAGACCGCTAGGCACCCGCCACCTTCTTTTGACCTGTGGAAAAAAGCGCCTTCCATTTTGGACACGGTACGAAGCAACTCGCGAAACGAGGACGCTGCAAGCTCGTGAGAAAAAAGGAGAACTTGGCAGTTAACTTATTCACCGCTGTGGCATTTGAGTGACGTATTATTCTTAATCACGTGTGAGAAATATCTTTCACCTATCTGGTTAGCTTGAACTCATTTACCTATGGACGTTTATGACATGGGTTTTCAATAAGTATATCGGCTCAGTATGTTAGTACTATAAATGATCCTCTTTTTTCTACAGACTGATACAGCTGTTTCAATGAACGTGAAGTCCGCGTGGGAAGACGGTTTTACAGGCAAAGAAGTTCTTGTGGCTGTGGTGGACGACGGAGTCAACATGAACCATCCTAACTTAAGACTCAACTTCGTAAGTCCCTCTGTTTGATGATAATACCATACTGACGCCAATGACAACAGATTGCACCGAATTTTTACTTTGCTGCACTGTGTAGACTAAGGGCCTGTTTACATGGAGGTGGGGGACCCCAGGTAGGTGAGGTAACCCGCTTAGGTGGGGTAACCCGCCTGTCCATATAATCTCTCATTTTCATTTGATCACGTTTACATGATAGGTGGGGTGACCCGCCAAGGCGGGTAGCCCGGTCTACCAGACCGGGTTACCCTCTCAGCCGGGGTCACAATTTGTCATGTAAACGTTTCAAGGTGGGGTAACCCGCCTGGCCGGGGTCGGATTCGTGATACATTAAATTCGCGCAAAATTCACTTTCGCGGTGTCTTTGCATTATGATTAAAGTTAACAATAGAAAGCTATTGCACTGACGGGTTGCAGCAAGAGCAACAAGAGAGTGAGTGTTTGCCCGCATTTTTCTTGTTTACGTGCTTAGCGACCATTCAATAATCTTGAGAAAGTGCACCCCGGGAAGGCGGGGTTGTAAGATTGCATGTAAAGGAGGGTTATTTTTTTACCTCACCTAAGCGGGTTACCTCACCTACCTGGGGTCCCCCACCTCCATGTAAACAGGCCCTAAGAACCGACAGGAGGCCATGGGCTCCTGTAACCGACAATAAGTACATGTGAATAACCACTTATCTCACATTTCATGAAATTAATAGTACCGCCCTGGAAGCAAGCGACAGATCCCGCGATTGCGTAACCGTGGCCAAAAAATGGAATTTTGCTTTTTGCGCCGTCAGCATAGAGAACTCGCCGGCGCTTGCGTTAGATTTTATTTATTTGACATTAACGAAAGGGCACTTTTTCTCCGATAGCTTTGTTAAAGACAAAAGAGAGAATGTAGGCAAAGAGCAACATTACTTGTACACCTAGATCACTGCAAGAGAATGTTTTAGCTCACATATGATCTATCGACAACAACAACAACAAGAACAACAAGAAAAACAACAATAAGATCTCTCACATGGAAAGGCTTCCAAATGAAATTCTAAGCAAAATCACTTACAGGTCGTAATTTCTTCAAAAGATTCGAGGCCTAACCACAGATGTCATGTTTACAATCGACTGCGCAATGCCGGTTAATACTCGTTTTTGTGATTTTACCTCAGATTCTGCCGCGTATTTACTTCCCCAGTAGCGGTATAGCGGGAAATGTCAGCGTTAAAAAAATCCGAAGAATTTTTGGGCCTTCAAGTAGTATTGTGCTTGAATGACGGCGAATAATCTCAAATCAAAAATGGGCGAATACTTGACTGGTACTGCGTCATATAGGTCTTTGATGGTTTATCATCATGGACATATTTTGTCGAAACAAGTAACATACTTCAAAGCTCTAGGCAGAGGCACCTCAATATTTAGCTAGTATCGGAGTGAAAGAACTTGTGGCAACAAAAGGCGAAAAATGCCTTAACTTACATAGAAGAATCATTGTACTTAAGAATTGCTTTTCGTGTTTGCATTTTTTATACTTTTTGCTACGTTAGCTGAGCCACACTTTCCGATGTCGCATTTTCTGATTATTACGAATAGGATTCTTTTTCATGTCGGTTCCAGCGCATTCAAAATTTCCACAAAATTAGTAGTCGTTGTGGTACAATGACGTGGGCAAGTGATATGCAATGTTTTCAAGAAAGTTTTAGTTCGATATTAATATTCATAATAACGATAAGGTGGATGATGATGATGATGATGATAATGATTGTCTGATTATGAGAATGATTGTAGCACCGTGTTGTGCTCTGAGTTTGTGTTTTTTGGTTTTATGAAATATTACTATAGTACTTATTCATGGAAATAAACACTAATATATAGATTTAGCCAGGGCTAAAAGCGAAGCTCCCGTTAATAAATTCATAATTTAAATCAAACAATAAACTTGTAATCCGCAGATCAGGGCACATTCATTTGACGTTTGAGGCAAAGGCTAAGTGATTTTAGAGAAAAATAATTTGACAGTCCAAGAGTGAAACAGCTTTTACATCGAGTTATTAAATAATCTTATTTGTACACCCAAAAATAGCAATCATGTTCGATCACAGTAGATTAGGCCTGGAAAACAAATAGACCTACCTATTCGTGTATTGTATTTGCATTAGCTGTTGAATCATAATGTGGCATTCACCACTCTCTCCAACATTGCTCCGTTTGAGAGACTATGGATAATTGGACAACCCCGAAATATAATTTTAAGAAACACAGGCGCCACGATAGTCCTTGGTGGCAGCCAATTTACACGTTGCATTCCTCTGTCTAAAAGAGAGGCCAAAATAAAAAATCAGGCCGGATTTTTTGTGTTCGACAAGTTTAGTTTACTAGTAAATCTTGGCGACGAATCTGGTGGAGTGTAAACCAGCCTTTTAAACATACTTTTTCTCATCACGTCTCAGGTAAACAGTACTATGAGGCCCTTGTTTTTATCATACAGACCTCGGACAGAATTTGTTCTTTTTTGCCCTATTTAAACCTATAATTCTGCAGTTTTTCACAATTTTGCAAGAGAATTTGCACTCATTCAATATCCACGACGATCAAAGCACGCGCTTCCTTTGCACAACAAATTATAGCATTGAATTATAAAACGTTTTCATGAAGAGAATTCTATAATGCCAGGACTTTCAGTTAGAAAAATCTGGTCCTATGTGATATGCAGGGTAAAATGGGCTTTTAATGAAAACGATAAAAAAATTCCCAAAATCACCTTTTCGGCCAGCCGGACGGGGCTCACTTTTGACAGGCACTAAATTTTCAGTGCGATTAATAGAGTTACCATTTACGCTTCAACATGATAGATAAATTGTATGTTTAGGTTTTATTTCCCTTTATTTATTAAACTGCGGACGGTTTTGTTATGTGTAATCTTTAAAAGCGAGTGATATTTACGCGCGGCGTTTTGAGTATTCCTGCATGAGATGTTTATGTTCGACTGGATACAACCGGTGCAGCGATAAAAATTGCGAGAGGGACTACTAACAATCAATAAAATAAATATAATTCGGTGAAACATGTACAGAGACAATAATTTTCATTCACGAAGAGAAGTATTGAGAGTAAAGTGTCTTTGAAAATCATGAGTCAGGTAAGCATAAGCTTATTTATGTTTTAAGCCGGCTTCCCGGTGTTTGCTCTTTTTCAAGATGAACTCGAGGCAAGAAAATCGCTCAGGGCTTTCTTTTTACAGTCAAAATCATAAGTAAATAATCTTCGGAACATTTTCTTTGAATTTGAGGTCAAAAAATGTACCTGATACTATTGTAGGTTAGATCATTGCTCGTATATAAACTTAAGCCTCATAAACCATACGCTCGACTTCAGGAAACCGAAAAAAAAAAACACATCAAAGACAACAATTTCTCAGGCTTACCAGTCGAGATGCTGCTTCTGAAGGTCATCAAGTGTTCCAGAATTTTCAACCCTCTTACGCCTCAAGCAAGGGCAAGTGAGTAGGCTCATTTTTGAAAACGATGCCATCCGAAATCGGATTTCCAATGACTTTGACAAGCGGTGCATTTGTCAACAAAGAGCGCAATAAACAAACCAGCCATGAATTACAGAACAATCTTGATAGCAGCTGTATTTCATTTTGTAAACCAAGTAGAAACAGCCAGTTTAAAACATCACAAGATGACACAAAACTCTGTAAGCTCCAGCTATCAGTAAGCAAGTTTCCAGACGCTGCATAAATTTTCCGCATGAACTCACCTGTCAAATTTTGACCAATCAGAACATAAAAATTGAACGTAGAGCGTGATCAACGCGTGACAGTGAGAAAAGTCAAAAGTGATTGCCTTCCCCGCATGTAAATGTAAAAGCCGGTTGAATTTTCGCGTCCGAGGTCAGTTCGAAATCAACATTTTAAAAGTGCGGCTCATGAACTCGACTTATTTCATATGCTTTAAAAAAAATTGAACTTGAGCCTGCGATAATTGAAAAGTAGCAACCTGTCAGCGGATACGTTAAAAACACTCGAACTCAGTGGGTCGATACCTGAGCCCGCGATAGGGTCAGGCGATACTGGTCAGCAGTAACACTATTTTGACTGCTGTCAATTAATCAAAACATGGATGTACAATATCAGGTTGCAGGCTCCCAAACTAGCTAGAAAGTGTGAGATTAAACATTGGTATACCTGTGGTGCGGACGGACGGAAGGTCGGGTGGTCGGTGTACGGTCACGTGATTGCCGAATTTTCTAAGATGGATCGATTTTCTAAGCTATGGGACTTCGAATTGAGCCCGTGATCAAATAAAATATCAGCGCAAAACTTTAAACTCTACGTGACCTCAATGGATAGGCTAATGAGCCCGCGATACACTCAGATGATGATGGTCAGCGTATACTCTAGTTTGACAGCTGTCAATTAACCTTCATTACAATGGCGAGTATTCGAATTAACAGACTACCAGTGTGAGTAAGACATCTCCGTCCGGCATATAGTGGAAAATGCCAGATCGTGTACCTGAGCGAACCTGAGCCCACGTTATTAGTTTTCTAATAGTGGTCTGCACATGTCCCATTTTGACAGCTGTCAATTGACCTTAATTTGCCTTGCCAATATATCTTTAAACGACTGTCAGCCAACTGACAGCCTTGCCCGGCGTAGTTTTGTTTTTATGTTGAATTGGTAAGTGTGACATATTATATCCGCTTATATGTAGGGGCAAGACGACTGGTCTTTCATCTGAGCCCGCGAGATAGTCATGTGATAATTGTCAGCGGATGCCTAATTTTGACAGCTGTCAATCTAATCGTACTCATACGGATGGCTTACATAACTAAGAGGCGAGTCAAGTTGTGCAAGATCCTTTGTGACATTTGACATCGGCTTACATGAAGCGTGTGTACGGGTGGGCGGGCGGGCGGGCGGGCGGGCGTACGCTATGTCATAACCAAATTTTCGCAGATGGATAGTTTACCAAATTTTCTTACCCATGGTGCTCCGCTCTTGTTGTCGATGATGATACTTATTATTGGGTTTACTTTCCCTCCGACCATCCATGTCAAGGTTATTACAAAGTGCGACAGCTTATATGTAAATTTTATTACGTCAACTTTTTTTTATTACAAAGTGCGACAGAACACACATATGCATGAGATCTTCACTGGCTTCCTGTTGAGGAGAAAATTGTTTTTAAAATAAATTTAATAACTTTTAAAACATTGAATGGCTCCGTTCCCCGTTATCTTGAAGATATTTTAAAATTTTACCATTAATCAAGGACATTACGGTCATCAAGGGATCATTTACGCCTTGAAGAACCGAATTTTAACATGAAAACTTATGGCCAGCGAGCGTTTTCCGTTGCTGCCCCCCGAGTATGGAACAAGCTCCCCTTTGAAATTCGCGCTTGTTCTGATGTTAATCTTTTTAAATCTAAGTTGAAAATGTTTCTTTTTTAAAAGGTATATGACATTTAGTTTCATCATATTTTTTTTTGTTTTCTTTCCTTTTTAAGATGTGTATGCTATAACTTTCCCAATATATACAGTAGGGTTATATGTAAGCTTGTGATTAATGATATTCTTATGTCCTTTTTTACATTGTAAAGCGCTTAGAACAGCGATGTATAAGCGCTATATAAATTCCATTATTATTATTATTATTATTATTATATTAATATTATATTATCTATTATTGTTTCGTGCCTTTATGGCACTTTGCACTTGGTACTTTCAAAATTTTTGAGAGTTTTCAAACGTGAGGCGCTTTAGGGTTAATTAGAAATGCCATACTCGTGCATATCGTGTTTTGCGAAATGTTATGTAGATCAAAGTATATACTGCATGCAATCGCATGGGGGGAGGGTCGTAAACTTGGACGCTATGTTATAGGCTGGCGTTAAAAAAGAGAAATATATCAAAACAGAGTTAATAACTGCTGCATACGGTTAGTTCTTTTATGACATAGAGAGCAAAATTGCTCGCTCTTTCTCTCTCTCTCATTCTCCAACGAAGAAAGCAGTTTTTGAGTGGGTGTAACTGGAAGCTGGAAGCCAAGTATCTCCTGATACATGGCATGTAAAGGACTCGCAACAAAGTTAATGAACATACACTCTTTCGAGCCTTTAAATAGCTTTCAATGTTTGCTCCAAATCAAAACTTTTTCAGTCAACATTTTGCATTAAAAACAAATGTTGGTCATTCATCCACCCCATGTTGTGCATGAAAAATACAATGTTGGAAGAAACGTTTGATCATTAAGCCGAAGGGAAGTCTAACACATTTTAGGTATACTTACACTCTACTTAGCTTGGCCAAAGAAGGACTGTAATTTTCACTGAAGCATAAAGTCATAGTATACTTAAAAATGCCACTTCAATTTTACTCAGGGGTTTCATTAGAAGCCGGGTTAACCTGGGTACCAACATAAAAGCCGAGTTTCAGAAAAACTACCGCATTTAGGAGATTGACTAATTATTTTTCCAGCAACATGGACATCAGAGACTAGCATTATTTCACCCAAATAATCTACCTTGAAATTCACTGGAGGGAAAGATCTTCGCCTAGTGAACTCTTCATACTCGATAAAGAAGACCTGGTTTTTCATGACATGTATGACAGACGATCCATCTCAGAGAACAGTTACAACGGAGATGGACGCACGTTTGTTCCGTTGATCCCAGTTCTGCAATCCTGAACACCGCCTGAAATTTGATAAAGAAAGGATGCTATTTTAGCCAGCCTTTGCGATCGTCTATTTAATGAATTAAATTTACAATCGATTTGCATTCAGCATCTTCCTGTGTATGGAGCGTTTTCAGTGGACATCAATTCCGCCATATTGGTTTCCTGAAACAATGAAACGGCGGGCATGTTGGTGTCCTAAACCAATCCTGTGAGACTTGAACTTTTTCTTATTTAAAAGTTTTCTTTCTTTGATAAATTTTCATAGATGCTGGCCACGTGAGTGAAACGGCTATATAGGATAACATTATTCACCCCAAATTTTGTTACAATCACGTTTGTAAACAAGTGTCGCAACTTCCTCCCTAAACTCCCCAACAAAACTAATCTAAAAACCAAGGCTATTTAGCTAGTAAATATACATAAACAAAAAGAGTTACCCCACTGAAATAAATGTTTCTATCTTACATAAAGCAAACTTGTTTCAAGCATAATATAAAGGCATGTTGTTGCAATTGGTCAGTGCATGCGGAAGAAACGTTAAAGGTGGATAAGAGCAAGTACAATTTTTTGTAGCGTTTTAGAAAAACTGTACCATTCCTCTATAGGGAGATCGCTTCGCAAAAATATTTTTCGTCGCCTCTCATGTCAGAAAATGGCAAACGGAAATGCATTTAGCTCCAAGAAAATGACACATTATCCCTTACAACTTACGTCTCTTTGCAGCATCAATTCATCGAATCCAAAATCTGCACCATTTTCCTCTGTAGCATTCCTCTTCAACGTCTTAGGATTCATCTCGTCCAGAAGGAACACCTTAGGCGGGTTTGCATTCTGATTGTCAATGTACAATCGTCTGAATAAACGATCCCCTCTCACTTCCTCCACGTACACAGTTCCAGATCCACCGTGTTGTACCCCTGATGACACTCCTCCCAAAGCATAAAAACAACCTCTATACTCATCTTTGATAGTCACGTGAACTGCTCTCCCTCCACCTGAGCCGCTTCCACCGGTTGCAGAATTGAAGGTGTTACCAGTCCCTTCGCGAGCAAATATAGAGCCATGGCCACGAAGGTAGCCTGTTGTGATCCAGACACTTCCACCACTTCCACCTCCACTTCCTTAAACAAGTTAATAATGAATGACTGAACATTTGAAAGAAGGCAAAGAATATGTTCCAGGAATGCAAAAAAACCCAGACAATTCCAAATTTTTTGAAATCATTCCGGAATAAATATGGGATGGACTATAGGATTCTGTTAAACTCTTTTCTTAAATTTTTATTTGTCGCCTAACTGCTAAAAAAGAAAGTTTCATCTTCCATTCCTTCTTTAGAGTCCCATCTCTCGTATGAACATCCAAATTTAAATTACCAACAGTTGGAAACCACTTTTTCTGTTTTCATTAAGGTGTTATCTTACTTAGTCAGACAAATAATAAATTCACACGAGGCAGTGGTTTCCTAGGACGTGATGCGTTATCATATGTTGATTTATATATTTGTACTTTTTTTTATTGTTGGGCACTGTTCTGCACTGCACTAGCTGGTTTGGAGTATTTCCTGTCGTGAATTGGTTAGAATCAACTTTCGCATAACTTTCTAGAATCATCTCCGCTCGTAGAAATCCCGACATGACTATTCAGACCCTGTGTTAGTGTCGGAGTGAAGAAAGTTTCAACAGTGTATGGCAAATAGCATCAGCAATGGATCTGAAAATGAAGAAGTGGCTGACCAATTCTCAGTTTGAATTACGAGAAGCCAGGAAACTCAGACAAACGCCATCGAGCCGCCTTCAAGCCCTTGTAGGTGAACACGCGCAAAGACAAACGCAGCTGACACTGGAATCGTACCACCGTATAGCCTGCGTCTGAGACGTATAATTTAATCTCCATTAGTAACGTCTGCGAAGCAGCGCCGATATCCATGTTCTGGCCCCCAACGGACTCAACGAATTACAGGAAGTGCGTTTCAAATTTCATTTCGTCCGGATTGGCAAATTGACAATGTCTTTTTAAAAGGCCAACCATGGCGGGTACTCAAATCCTGGTACACAAGTGGAGGCCCAGGGCTGTTTCGCACACGGACTTAACCAGAGTTTAGTTTCGTCTGTGGCGTAGGCTAACCACCGTATTAACATTTACTATATGCGTCCATCGACAAGGTGCTGTCCGAGCTTGAGCTCAGGTTTAGCGGAAATGATCAGGAAATACTCTGTGCTTTGTGAAACATCTATCACAGTGAAACACCTGATAAAGAAAGCTTCTCTTGTGTTGCTAAATTTTCAAAATCGACGGCGAGGTTCTCGAAGCTGAGCAGAAATTTTTCGTGGAGTGCGCGGATGAGGCAATATGACTGTTCCAGAAATGCTGGAGACAATGCACGAGAATGATCTATTTGCCATATTTTCAGTGTTTTCTAAAGTGGTACATATCTTGAAGTGAATCGATCCCGGGATGTAGAATAGCAGATAGCGTCAGATAGCGTCAGATAACAGAAAGATGGAGCGAGTACAAGAGTGAGCGTTAAGAGCCGTCTACTGCGATACGAGAAGTTCATACGACGAGCTCTTGAGAAAAGCTAAACTCACGACACTAGGCTGTCGCCGATTGCAGGATATAGCCATAATTATGTATAAGGCAAAGTACAATATATGCCCTCCGTACATAAAGGCCATTTTAAGCTAGATAAACCTCGCTACGGGCTCAGAAATTCTGGTGACTTTTTTATTCCTCGATACAACTGGGCCCAGTAATATGGTCTAAACTAAGCAAGGATGTAAAAAACGCAGAATCAATTTACAGCTTTAAAAAGAAAATTCGTAAGGTAGATCTTGAACAAGTAATCACAGAGGGCTGTAAAAACTGCTTTCTATGTTGTACATAAATGACATTTTCTAGACAAAAAGGACACCTCTTAATCAATAAGTATTATTTTATATGATAAATCCGAATACGTTTTATCGACATTTTTTGTAGGATGTATATTTTTGTAAGTTTTATTCTTTGTAAATATTTTTTTTATATTAATTAGTTAGAGCTGATAGTATTTTAATTTAGTGTCCTCTATTAGTAGGCCTTACATGACCAGCTAAAAGACCTGACACTGAAATAAAGTTTATCATCATCATCATCATCATCAATCAAGGGCATCTCAGAGGCCATCACACTTATAACTATTATAAGCCGTGAAACATGTTAGGCTATCACTGCCTTTTCAGGGGTCGTGAGACGTATCAGTCTGAAATATCATTGTACACTTAATGGTTCATTAAAATAACCCGGTAGGAATTTCATGGGCATTTCATGACTTACCCCGGTAATTAAACACCATGAAATCTCGGGGTTTTTTGCCATTTCTTTCGTAAACTGTCCCGCATTTTTCTTCAACAGAACCTAAGGGCAAGCTATGACGTTTTGGAGGACCGAAAAATAAGTGGATCCCATAGTCCTGGAAGGTACGTAATAACCGTATCTTTTCAAATCTTCCGCAATTAACTATAGATAACTAGCTATCTCGCAAAACCTCGTAAAACAAACTTTCGAGTTCACATCAGTACAAACACAGTTGGCAGATGGGAATGCACTTTAGTGGCTATTGTCCTTGTAGAGAGGTTTACACAAGAGAAAATGTATGGACTGTCCGCCGGGACAAAATAAGTGTGTGCCGTTAGTGCAAGTTAGACTGTACAATATTGGAGGAAAATGTTTGATCATTAGCCGAAGGGACGTTTAACACATTTTAGGTATACTTACACTCTACTTAGCTTGGGCAAAGAAGGACTGTAATTTTCACTGAAGCATAAAATCAAAGTATACTTAAAAATGCTACTACAATTTTACTCAGGGGTTTCATTAGAAGCCGGGTTGACCTGGGTACCGACATAAAAGCCGAGTTTCAGCCAAGACTACCGCATTTATTTTATTCAGTGGCCAACCTCGAGTTAGCAGCCACTTATAAGCGCCCACTCTGTAGGTAGGAAAATTGGTGAGCCACTCTCCCCCCTCAAAGAAAAACGGAAGTGCACATGAAGAGTATTTTCTCATTATTAACTGTTTTACTGGCTTACAAGTCTGAATTCATTGTCAGACAGTCTCTTCCTTTGAGAGTTCGACATGGAGATTGAAATTGACTCGTCACTACTACAGGGTGTCCCAAAAGTTGGTTCCTCTACTTTATAAGTCTGTATTTCAGTACGATTGGACTTGGGTAAGCAAATCATTTCAACAAAAGTTGTGTCTTTCAATATAATTCACTATTTTCATACTTGTTGTGCCATCTTGTGACTTGAATAATCGATTTGTGCACTTCCGCGCCAAAGGTGCGCGTGCGCGAGTATATTTTCCAGCCACGTATTTCATAGCCCGAATTGTTCGAACTCCTTCCTTGTTTTTTTGTGAATATCACGAAAGATAAACCCCCTTAACGCAAAAACGTTCAGCTACGTGAGAGCATAAGCCTGTATACTCCTGTATACTTATCTGTTGTAGAAATTGCTAAATAACTGGAAAAATCCGAATGTTGGGTGGTAGAATGATCATGGAGAAATGAAGGTTTTGCAGGCAAGAAACTAAGGGGAAGACCAAAAGCCCTGAATAAAGCAGCTAAAATAGTTTTAAAGAAGGCTAGATACAAAATATGAGACTCGACAAGGAAGCTCAGTCTCACATAGTTAGCAAGCCAAATAAAAGGGTCATGAAAAGCTGTTCAAAATGTTTAAAGTCAGAGGCCCCTGAGATGGCAAAAAACTTCTTCTCACGCTTGGTGCGTAAGTTCTCTAACATGAACGCGCTGTGTACTTGTGTGATTTAAATCTATGAAAAGACAATTTTCAGATGACGATCGAAACACTGAAAATGAACAGTAAACAAACGACAGAATAAAATCGCACCTCCTTCTAAACCTAAACCTGCCTGCGAAGCTTAACGTCCATTGAAAAAGAAATCCACTGTAAACAATGCTCTTGTGCGCACGCTTTGCACATTAACGACTACATTAAGGCACTTTGAGATATTTAAACGAAATAGATTAACCTCTAAAGGCCTATTAATCCAATATAATTAACGCACTGGTGAAAATTGTATACGACTCGCACAGTTGCGTAAACAAAGAGTCACTTTACGCGATTATCAAAGGAGATAATGGAAGTTGTCGTGTAGTAAAGAAATAAATTTCTTCTTCAAATGGACATAGATTTTGGACTATGTGTTGTGACATAGGGATGTAGCTTAAAAGATTTTGTCGAGAATTTTGGCTTAAAAAATGACACCTTTCTGCTTAAGTGCTGCTAGCATAGCCAAAAACAAAAGAATTGATATTCACCTCTCTGAGAACAGTTTTTGCCAGAATAAACTTTGAAAGGAGGGTTCTTTTATGTCGTTTATGTTCAGTTGCAGCGGCGGTATTTCATTGCGGTGTAGGCCTCGAAGTACGGACTGCGCGCGCAAAATTTATACTAGGTCTCTTTCCGCGATCTTATTTCCATTTAAATTCACAGTTTTCAAGATACAAGCGGATTGATTCACAAAACAGTTTTAAATACGCCCTCGCTTAACTTCCTTGTAAATCATTTGCAGGGAATTTTGCTGTTAGAACTATTCACTGGTAAGGTTTGTATTTGGGGGAGGTACAAGTTTAAAAATCACACCTTTGTGCGGTAATTATTATTGCTACAAAGCATTGTTATTACTGAGTTGTGGTTATTCGCATAAAGCAAATGATAGGATGGTATATTTTGTAAACTTTTTAAATAAGGTAGACAAATATGTTCTAAAACTGCAAAACAGGGTCGTAAAGTAGTATCGGCCTAAAATACTGAAGCGTAACCTCAATGTGTTTTTAAGATTCTGAAGCAGTGCGGACATCATGCTGATGCTTACCTGCTGGTATAGATTTCGGTAGCGTGCAGAATGCAAATTAATTTCTTCTTTCTCTTTAGAAGTGTCTTAGCAAAGCGCGAAGGACCGACATAAAGTGACCTGAGCGGCGCGATTTTTTTTGGTCATTTTGTATCCAACCCCGTCACTTTTGCGCGATGACAAAAAGAACGATTGCGGGAGCCACTGCGGATTCATATTGCAGTGTACTCGATGAAAAAATGAGCTTAACTTCTAAACGTAAAAAGGTTAAGATTTTAGTTCACTGTCTCGATGCTTATAATTGTGTAATTAAGAACCTGAACCAAAAACAAATTAAGTAAAAGACTGCTCTCAGCTCCGCAAGGACTAAATTTGTACGAAGTTCAACTTCTCCCGTCGGTACCCTAGTGAAGCATCATTCTTCACAGCGCAATGTAGCACTCCCTACTCCCCTGGTTCGCAAGTTTGTCGCGCCGAAGGTTTCCGATTATTCAAACAAACTTCGGCTTGGTCTGGGCAGGTGTCACCTGGAACAAAGGGCCTATTGTTTGAACGTTAATTGGCAAATTCAGGTCGGTACAATGGGCCACTTCTTGAAACGTTAACGCCAAGCTCCTTTCAAATTTGTAAAGAATTACAAAAGCCTTGCTGTGGAAGGGGGCCGGGATGATTATCTTTTTTGGACGAATGCCCAAAATATATTTTTTTCAGCTGCCTAAACTAAACAAATATTGTTTGGGGGTTGAACTGGATCCTGCGATGATTACTCCTGAAGCCTGAACTCCTGAGAAGTTATATACGAAGAACGACGAAGAAATGTTATATGGTTTAATCCACCATATAACAAAAACGTCAAAACCAACATCGGACGTGCGTTCATCAGCCTTATTGAAAGATCTTTTCCAGCGGGCCACAAACTGAGGAAAATTTTGAACAGGAACACCATAAAGCTCAGCTACAGCTGCATGCCCAACGTCAAGCAAATAATCGATGGCCACAACAAAGCCATCCTGAAGATAGCAGAAACAGCTCAACCACAGAAAGACGGAGGGAAAACGTGTAGCTGTTGGAAAAAAGAAGACTGCCTACTAAATGGTGAATGTCTGGTGAATGAAGTTGTGTACCAAGCCACGGTCACAACCCGAGACAAAAAAGAGACATACATCGATCTCACAGGTGCTCAGTTCAAGGCAGGATACAGAAACCACCTGATGTCATTTAGACATGAAAAGAGAAGGAATGAGACTGAGCTCAGTGAGCACCTGTGGCAGCTAAAGGAGGCAAATAAAGAAATCGATATCACGTGGAAAACACTCGCCAAAGCAAAACCTTACACGAATCTTACAAAACGTTGCAATCTTTGTACCATAGAGAAGTTCTTTTTAATCTGTAGGCCTCACATGGCAACACTGAACAAGCGCAACGAACTTGTCTCAACACATAGACATCGACGCAAGTTCATCCTAAGGTTAAATTAAACATGTCAAAGCCAGAAATTTTAGCGCGAGCATTTGGTGTGACTTAGGTTTCGTATAAGAGTTGTAGGCGATTAAGAGAACGCGCGCGCTTTTCATTCAAAAATTTTAAAACATTTAAATTTTAAACGTTATATGTAACCGTTTTCATCATGCGGTCATATTATTAATGTAGACCCTAACGCTTCAGTGTAATAATGGAGTTTAACTGATGAGTTAGTCACCTTTTCGGTGGCCTACGAAACAGATTTGTATTAAACACCCAGGCATGCACTCAGGATTTGAGTAGTTCACCTACTGGTCTACTATATATATATATATAGGAAGTCTGTGTCTCGATTTTTCCGTAGTAGAGTTCGATATGATAGAAATATTGGAAATAGGATATATATATATATATATATATATATATATATATACTAAAAACAATGAAAAACGAAAGTCTTCTTTGCTTTTGCGCTACGCGTTTCACCGCTGTTGCGGCTCTTCAGGCATAGCAAAGTGTTTTTATTAACTTATTACGTCACAGACGTAATTGTAATTACAATTATAATGGCTCTTGTAATTCGTAGCACGCGCGAGCAATTAGCGTAATTTCAAATCATTGAGAACGGGTTTATATATATATATATATATATATATATATATATTTATATATCTATGTATAAAACAACAACCTAAAAACATCCTTACCTAATGTAAAGTTCCCATTTTCATACATATGTCTAATTTTGTCTTTTTGTCTGTTTCTTTTTTTTTGTTCAATGTAGTCATGGTACGAAATGTGCTGGGATCATTGCTGGAAGTAACAATACCGACTGTGGTATAGGAATCGCGTTTGATGCACAAATTGCAAGTAAGAAACATAAAAGCTTGTTGGTGGATTCACACTGTACTTTTCACCTGCACTCGAAGTACATTTAAAGTGCATTTGTGTGTGAACGTACGGGACTTGTTTCACTTGAATAGTCGTATTAACTTGCCACAGAAACCTTAAAACCTCAAAGTGCCGAAGTGCACTCTTAGGTGAAGGTCAAAACCTTCCTTGAGCCTGCACTCATCCCATCAAAGCGTCAGAAGCGTACAAAACCTTCCTTGAGCCTGCACTCATCCCATCAAAGCGTCAGAAGCGTATTATCAAAGTGGACGTCCTCTAAACAGTCGTAAGATTTTGTTTTATCATTCGTTTGTTTTCAGACCGAACTGGACTCTTCTCAGTCTTCAGGTATTGCACTTCACTCAGTCCTACTAAAATTACAAACATGTTTTTATTCGGCAGGTTTGCGACTTTATGACGACAACACGAAATCTAGCGACCAATCAGAAGCCAGGGCATTGAGTTACAAAAGGGACTTGATTGATGTGTACTCTAACAGTTGGGGGCCTGGTGACATGGGTTGGCAAGTGGAGGGACCAGGTCCTCGATTAACGGAGGCTCTCGAAAACGGGACGAGATGGGTAAGTGCTTCCGAAAAATCTTGATTAGCTTTGATTAGCATCTTACTACTGTATATTTATTCTTTTTATATACCTATTTTCTGTACATTTTTTATTTTATTTGTATATCATCAATAGATAGTTTATCAGCAGGTCCACATCAGCTTTAGATGCCTTTTATCATAATCTGCTCTACCAAATAAACTATGAATGAATGAATGAATTGGAATCGATTTGCCCGACAATGTAGTCAATTTGTATAACCTGTTTCTTTAATGTTAACGAGAGGCATATTATTGTAATGACTGGCTTGCTAGCGCAATTCACGTTGGAATTTACTGGACTGTTACGACGGAAACAAGTGCAGTTTTTGTGAACCAAGAAAATTCTGTGAGCAGGGCCAAAGAGATGCATGAATTTCGTGTTGTACTCTCACAGAATTTTGTCTTATTTCCTTCATCATATCTACACAATGTCCTGATATGGATAGAGAAAACAATTTTTTTTGGCGTGTTTTGAAGTGCCAATAACATTAACCAATTACAATTCGTATTCCTATGTTAGCTGTTATTCTGCTAAAATAGAATATTTTTTGACACAGGGCCGTCATGGTAAAGGATCCATCTTTGTCTTCGCAGCAGGAAACGGTGGGCTTGCAGGTGACAACTGCGCATTTAACGGTTACGCAAATAGCATTCATACAATTGCCATCTCTGGAGTGAATTGGGATGGCAGGGTACCAGACTATTCTGAGAAGTGCTCGGCCATTGTGGCTGTGACGTACGGGCAGAATGTGTTAACATATGGAAACGTTAAAGCTCCAATCGTAAGTTACTTGTTTTACCCACGCTTTGTTTATAGTGGAAATGCACGTTGTTCATCTAGTTTGTTTGAGATATGTCTCGGGTTGAACTGTCCAAATGGAAGATTCCGTGAGCAACAAAACTGCGAAAAACCACCGAAATTATGGGAATTGAAAAATTTTACCAAGATTCTCGAAGATAATGGTTTACTGAAGGTCGTTGACGAGAGTGCGAAATCTGCAAAAATTACCAGGACACTGAATTTTGCCAGGTCCTTGTTGAAAATCAAAGATGATTTTATGTTATACTGAGCTTTCAACTATATCGTGGAAATTCGTGTATAGCAATCACGAGTCATAAATCGCAAGGCCTTCCACACCCTGTGAACAGAGTCTCCTTTTGTCTTCTTGAGTTAGGAGGAGAAAAGAAGGCTCTGTCTGAACCGCGTCAAGCTTTAGAGGTCGCCATAGCCCAAACTTCTGGACTAGTCAATCTTCCTCTCTCTGCTTATATCTGCTTTTTTCGAGTGCGAGCATCTGTTTATTGATAAACCGATGGTCATAACCTAGCACGCTGCAGCAAATGCTCGTCTATTAGGCCTGGGTCCGAAACTATATCCAAGCAACATGCCGCACGTGCTCAACAAAGATTCATGCAGAGTCTCAGTTCTCGAATACGACAAAGTCAAGCAAGCAAAAGAAAGGCGTTGCTGGCAGGGTGGGCGTCCCACTGAAACGGTGGAAATTAAAGGGTCATAGTTACCCTGCGAGCAGAGGCTACATTTTCGCTTTGTGAGCTGTCGTGCGAAAAGTAGCAGTCTACTTTTCGCACGCCAGCTCAGACAGCGAAAATGTAGCCTCTGCTCGCAAGGTAGGTCATAGAAGGCTGTCAGCACAAATTTACGGAAGAATGCCAGCAAAGTTCGTGTCTATCTTGTCGCCCTACTGAAACTGCGAAAAAATCGCCAAAAAATAACGATAATCGCGGGAATTTGTTCATGATATTCTTTTTGTGAAATAAAAAAATTATTCGCCGATGACGAATCCAATATTAATTTTGCTTAATTATACAGTTATGTCTGACTGAGTCAGAACGGAAACTACCCTAAAAATCCGAAAATAAAGCCCTCGATATATAAGCCCCCCAAACTCGTAACGCAAAATCACCCCTCCAAATATAAACCACCGGGGTTGTGACTAGAATGGAAACCCAAAAGTCAGATTGTCCTCTTCACTCAAAATATATGATAGGAATCTTATAACTTAAAGTAGTAAACAAGACGCTACGGAGCGTATACTTCGTCGTCGTGGTTGTGGAACTAATTAATTGTAAATGCGGAGGAATAGTAAGAAATCAAATATGGTAAGAGTCACATCAGGCTTCAAAAACAGCATAGCAGTCTCATGTACTGATTAAAGATATGTAAGGCATGGGTAAGGAGTCAATTACGTTGAGCCTGGAATTGGCTACAACTCAAAGTCACGAGTTCGAATGTTTTGAGGATAATTATTCACTGCCTATCAGCACGCAGGGATGTCGGATTAACACAAGGAAGTTTACCAACAAAGGAACATAGCCTTTACAGAGCTTTAAAACACAGCATCTACCAACACAAACTTGACTTGAACTTTGAGTAAAACTAAACAGCCTCTACCAATAATAACAAACTCTCACTTGAACTTCAGATGTCTTACGGCTTCCGCGAACTTGTAAACACAGAACCTGAAAATCGACCTTCGTCACACTTGACTAAACACATCACTCCAACTCGTGGGAAAAAAACTTGGTTCGTCAAAAGAACTCGCTTGGAACTTGTATACCGTTTGACATAAGGTTCTAGAAAATACTAAACAGGCGAATAGTAGTAGCTTTTCGACATATTTTATGATTTCAGTAACTGATGCAAATCTGCTGACTCATGCTGAAATGTAAACATGCCCTAATTAATTATTCATGGTTAATCCAAAAACGTAGAAAACGTTCGAGAAAGTCACGCAACGCATGAGAGCAATTTTACTACGTAACACTCAACAAAGACAAAATGTCTTTGTGCAGCATTTTGTAACTTTAAATTCATCATAAAACAGTTCGAAAGGAGGGCTCACTCGTGAAATGTTTTTCAACACTCGAAGAGAAATTTCGTGTCTCTGCGCGGCCACGAAATATCCTCTATTTATTCCTCGAGTAATTAAATACTAAACTCGAAGTGATCTCAAGATATCACGAA